AGCCTCTGGTGAGGGCTTCAGGAAGTGCCCACTCATGGCAGAAGGGGAAAAGGGAGTAGGTGCACAGAGCTCACAAGGCAAGAGAGAAAGGAAGAGAGAGATGAGAGGTGGGTGCCAGGCTCTTTTTAAACAATCAGTTCTCATGGGAAGGAATAGAATGAGAATTTACTCATTACTTTGAGCATGGCACCAAGCACCCCATGACCCAAACACCTTCCCTCAGCCCCCACCCCCAACATAGGGGATTAAATTTCAACCTGGGATTTGGAGAGGACAAATATCCAAAGTATATCAACTGCTGTGAACATAGCCATACATATTTCCTGTTGCACATGTTCCATGGTTACTAAATATGTTCTGTGATCTAATAGAGTGGGTCCCTACAGTTTGTTCTTCTTCAGGAGTGTTTTGACTCTTGAGTCTTTGTACTTCCTTATGGTGTATTAATAAGTTTGTCAAATCCATTTTTTAAAAAACTTTAAAAATATTTGGTTGGAATTGCATTGAATCTATAAAGTACCTTGGGAAAAACTGACATCTTTAGGATGTTTAATCATCCTATCCATGAACATGGTATATCTCTCTATTTATTTAAATCTTCCTTACTGTCTTCCTTTCTATTCCTTACTATCTTTACTTTCTATTTAAATCTTCCTTACTATCTCTCAAATTGAATAATTTATAAATTGTCATAAAGGTTTTATATTTCTATTATTAGATTTATTTCTGGTTTTTTTGTTGCTGTTGCTAAAGGAAATGGTGAAGGGGTTGTTGTTATGTCTTTTGTTTGTTGTTGATATATAAAAAAAAATGCATACGTTTTCTGCATAGATTTTTAATTCTAGCCACCTGGCTAAACATTCTTAGTAATCCTAATAGTAGTTCTACTCTCGTGGATTTTCTAGGTACACAGTTATATTATCTGCAAATAATGAAAGTTTTATTTATTTCTGATTCAAATTGTATTATTTCTTTGTTTTATCTTATTTATATTGGCAAAGGCCTTTGGTACAATGCTGAATAGAAAAGGTGATGGCAAGCATTTACTGCATCTGTTTTTAAAATCACTGGTTCTGACTTTAAATTATCCTAACTTTTGCTGATCGTCATCAAGAATAATAATTGTTTAGATTTTTAGTAAATACAGTTGGTCTCGTACTCAAAGTTCATTAAGAAGTTTCATCATAAGTGGGTGTTGAATTTTATCAAATGAATTCTGTGCACATATTAAAATGATCTTTCAATCTTTTAACATGATAAATGTTAAAATCAGCATTCTAATGTTAAACCACCCTTGTATTCCTTGGGATAAACCCAACTTGGTCATGGTGTATTTTTTCTTTTTTTCTAAACTGTTGGATTTGGTTTGCTAATATTTTTTCTAGGATTCTTGTAGGCACACAAGTGAATAATATGGCCTTGTGTTTTCCTTTTTTTTTTTTTTTCTTTCTTGTACTATATTTATTACTTTATTATCAAGATTATTTGCCTTATAGAACAAGTTAGGAAATAATTCTTCTATTTCCTGGGAAAGTTTATGTAAAATTATCATGATGATTTCTTCCTAGAATATTTCACTGAACTCATCTTTAACATTGTCTGGGCTTTGTAATTTCTTTATGGGAAGTTTTAAATCACTGACTCAATTTCATAATTGGTTATAAGGTATCTCTGTTTTTTGTTTTTACTTAAATAAGTATTGGTAAGTTATATGATTTAGAAAATCATCCATTTCATCTATGTTTTTAAGTTATTTTAATGCCCTTTTGTGTTTTCAGTCTCTGCTGTTTCTATGATTATGTATACCTTTGAGCTCCCAATGCAGTTTATTTTTTGCCTTCTATAGCTTTTACTTGGCCAGTCTGATCAGAGATTTGTCTATTTTACTAGACTTTTCAAAAAACAACTTTTGACTTTATTGATCTTCACTGTGGTTGATTTGTTTTATATTTTATTAACTTACACAGTGATCTTTATTTCCTATTTCCCATAAATTAATTCTATTGTTAATTTTCTAATGTCTTAAGTTGAATATTCTAAACATTAATGTTCAGACTTTATTCCTTTCTAACACATGCATTTAGATGTATTTTTCTTACTTTCTATATGCCCTTTAATTTTGATATTTAGAATTTCAGTGTTATTCAATCCTAAGTATTACTGAATTTCCATTATGGTTTCTTCTTTGGCATTTAGAGGTGTGGTCACATATCACAAAATGTAGTAATTTTTAAGTCTATCTTTTTTTATTGTTTTCTTTCCTGTGCATGCAAAGCTCAGGATTATATCAGTTCATACACAGAATCTGGAAATCCTCTTCTCCAGTTCTCTCCTCTGTGAGATCCACCCCTCCTGCTGGTCGACCCCTACTTTCAGCTCCCAGGCCCCCTTTTCTGATACTTCTTTCTCGAAAGCCAAAATTTGCCCAGCATTTGAGCCACCTGGGCTGCTGCATGGTTTTACACAGTTGGGGCCACTCTCAGGATAAAGCAGTGAGAGGAAAGAGGAAAATGCAGACACAGACTCTGGTCCCGGGAATTCCCATTTCCCAATGCTCGGTCCACAAAGACAGGCTCTCTCAGAATTTTTGGTGCCTGTGTCACCGCTGCACTGCAGAGCAGCTGAGGACAAAGGCTGCACTCAGAGCTGGTGGGGAATTTCTCACACTCAATGGGGATTCCCACTCCCGTCTCTGACTCAGCAGCACCTTTTCCTGGTACTCTGGTTAGAAAGGCAGGGTTTCTCTCCGAGACTTTCTTGCTGGCACTTGTTCTGCATTGGGGCCATGCTCAGGTTAAAGCCAGAAGACAAAAGAGGAAGGGAGAAAATTTGATCCCCAATTTATTCTTTAAGTTTTGTCTCCCTTCTCCAGTCATTCTGCTATTGTGAACTGTCTAGAGTCTTCAGATGGTTTCATTTTGTACATTGTCCAGAGGTCTCAGCTATACTCGGTGGGAAGGAACAGCTGCATTTGCTACCTCTTCACCAGCACCAGAAGGCCCATCATTTGCTTTTCATTGAACTCAGGTTTTATTCAAATTATGAATTTTGTACTTTTCCAGCACTGTGTTATATTTTAGCTGAGGGTCCTTCATATGCAGACAGACGTGATGCTCCCGCTTTCTTTTCTAAAGATTCACAAGCCATCTTTGTATTTAATATTAATAATACATTTCAGAAATGGCCAATGAACAATATTAAGCTGTTTCTGTATAATTCTTTATAGCTCTGTATAGGAACTATACAGAAACAGCTTAATATTGTTCATTGGCCATGTCTTTTTACTTAGCCATAAGTACTTATTGGGAACCTCCAATGTTGAAGCACTGTGCTAAATGCTAAGGAATATGGAAACAAGACAAATAGATCCTCAAGACATTCACAATTCAACAAGGAAAACAGACACATATGACTGCTGTAAAACACTCTGCATTCAGCATAAAGCAGCTGCCTAATATTTATTGTTGGTCCTAAATACTGATTGACTGGCTGGCCGCTCTCCTGAATGAATGGTCACAGGGCCACAGTATGATATTCATGAGTCCCTGGTGATCTTGCCTTTGTAAGCCTCTTGCTCCATTATAAAAAATTTTTAAGTTATATTTTACAATTGTATAGGTATAAAAATGAATATATTAACATTGTTTCCATCTAAAAGTTTATCTTTTCTGATTTTAAAAGAGTTAAAATATTTTCATGGGCCTCTAAAAGTATCATGGGCTGTAGACAGCATGCCTTTTTGTTTAATGGAGAAGTCAGCCCTGGATTAATGACTGAATGAATGTTTCCATTTCCTGAGAATTTTTATAAGAGAGTTCTTTGGCCTCAGAAAAAATACACAAGTGTCATGTCTCATACCTTATGCCACACTTGTTGCCTAGTTTTATTTTCCAAGGAGGTGGCTAGAATTTTCCTCATTCTGCCATTTCATATTTAAAAGAAAGTTACTTCTGACTCTAGGGCTGCCAGTAGCTCACATGGTGCTTCTGTGCAAATTACAAAAAGACTTCTCATCTTTAAGAAGGGGGGAAAGTGGCCAGTCACGGTGGCCCACGCCTGTAATCATGCCAGCATTTTGAGAGGCCAAGGCAGGTGAATTGCCTGAGCTCAGGAGCTCGCGACCAGCCTGGGCAACGCAGCTAAATCCCTTCTGCGTAAATCTTCTACTAAAATACCAAAAAAAAAAAAAAAGTAGGTGTGGCAGCATGTGCCTGTAGTCCCAGCTACTCAGGAGGCTGAGGCAGGAGAATTGCTTGAACCCGAGAGGCAGAGGTTGCAATGACCCGAGACTGAACCACTGCACTACAGCCTGGGCAACAGAGGGAGACTCCATCTCAAAAAAAAAAAAAAAAAAAAAAAAAAAAAGAAGAGGGAAAAGCTTTTAAAGTAGTTACGATTGCACAATCTGAGCAACTATGACCACTGGGCTTAAGAAAAGTGCAAACTCAGGTGAGTAACCCTTCCAGCCTCATTCATGGCCTGTGTGTTAATGGCAGGTGGAAGGGTAACACTGATCTGTGGCCTCTAGCTTAAAAGCAGCCTAAGTGTAGTTCCTTACGTGAAATTTCATTCTAAGTCTGTGGCCAAAGAGCTCAAATCCCATTAGGACCCAGGCTAACCCTCCAAGAGCAGTAGGAGGCCAGAGTCATGACTTCAGGGTTCTCCCAGAGCAAAGAGTGAACAAGACATAGCCACACACACGTGAGCACTTATGTGCATTTGCACATTCAACCTCCTTTGTGTGTGCATGACCACGCAGGCAAATGTGACTTGATGTGAGCCAGGGCTCTCTCACTGTTCCCCAGGACTCCACTGAGAGGCCTGGAATCTCCATGGCACATTAGCATGTGTCCACAACGTGAATGACACCGACTAAGTTGTGGCATCGTATGCAGGTCAGTCTCAACAGCCGCATGCAGGGATCCTTCCCGCTCAGGGTCTCCTGGACCACAGAGAGCCCGCGCTCATGTATGCTAAAGCCTCCATTCTTCTCTCTGCAGGGATGACATGCCAAGCTCGAAGCTCCTACATTACCAGTGAGATCCTGTGGGGTTATCGGTTCACACCTGTCCTGACACTGGAGGATGGGTTCTACGAAGTTGACTACAACAGCTTCCATGAGACCTATGAGACCAGCACCCCATCCCTTAGTGCCAAAGAGCTGGCTGAGTTAGCCAGCAGGGCAGAGCTGCCCCTGAGTTGGTCTGTATCCAGCAAACTCAACCAACATGCAGAACTGGAGACTGAAGAGGAAGAAAAGAACCTCGAAGAGCAAACAGAAAGAAATGGTGATGTGGCAAACCTGGAGAATGAATCCAAAGTTTAGTGCCCTAGCTGGGCAACCCCTTCTCTTCTCCCCTGACGCAATCTTTCCTTGTCTCTCATTCTCTTTCTTTTCTGTCTCTCTTGCTTTGTTCTTTATTTATTCATATTTAATTTTTACATTACCAGAAAACAAATCTTCAAGGTGTAAAATATCTACCTGCCCTCTCTCAGTTACTTAGATTGACAAGGTAGACACGGATTTGGTGAAAAGTGCAAAGTGCCCTCATTTGTGGCCCAAGCCTGGTCTCCTCCCAAAATACTACACATCCAACTCCTGGAGCTTTCAGTTACTTACCTGCATGTGTTGTACAATACCAGATCACTCAAAAGGGTGTGTCAAAGATTTTACCTGGGATATGACAAGTAAGGTTTCCGGTGCCTATTTATTCATTCAGTGAGACACAGAGTGGAGCCCTCAGTTTTATAGATCCCAATTCATTTCATCTACTACAGGGTGAGGTGCTTGCCCCGTGTGGGTGTGGCAGTTAACAGGGCCCAGGTGAGCTGAAGATAAACTACTGTACATATATATGCCTTATGTAATTATTTTCTTTTTGCAGTTAGTAATAAAACCCAGCATGTACAAAAGTACCATAGAACAGAACTTCTAAATACTGTACATAGATGTATCACTAATGTAGGTTTAGATATATAACTTTAGAAATAAGAAGAAAAAAAAAAAAAGAAAGAAAGATTCTTAACATGCAGTAGACATTTCTGTTTTGATGTCAGTGTTTTCCAGGTTATTTTGAGCCCATTGACGGCTGGTCCTTCAGTGCATGGCCTTTGTTTGTATCTCAGACTAGCAGCCAGCCGTCAGGGCACCTCACTGTTCCCACACTGATCCTTTCATTGAATCTAATAAGCCATAGGTCTGGGGGAAATTGAGAGGTCTGGTAGATGGTAAAACCCACCACCACTAAGCTGATGTACTATGTAACGTTACAAAACAGATGTCTTTTTCTTTTTTTTAAGACAACAAGGGCCTCACTAACTGGCCTGGAGCGGGGGGAATACCAGGAAGGGGACATTCTCTACCGTGTCACCAAGGGTATGTTTTTACTTTTCACATGAGCTCTCACCCTTTGTAGTACAATAATTTAGAAACTTTTCTGCAAAATCGTGGATTCTCCAGCTGTAGTTTCTCTACAGACTGTTACAATGAGACATGGTAAGTTAGCAGAAGATGGTTTGGGTCTAAAGCCATGAAATTCATGACGGCGCTTAGTGAGTGACATGCATTATAATCACTACTGACCTCTCACACTCTTTTGACTCCATCTGGTGTTCTGAGGATGACATCTCGCCTGTCCCTGGGGCTTATCCATCAACATTTCTTGCATTGTGATCTTTTTTTTTTTTTTTTTGAAATGACCAGAGTGCAGTATTCAAAGATTAGATCAACAATCTTGATGATTGTCTAAGAAATACCTCTAGAGAATGCCACAGGTTAGAAATCAAATCCAAAGTATCTCTCAATCAAAAGAAAACAAACAAAAAACTATAGCCTTAATTCACTTTAATCTGCCAAAAGGAAGGGAGGAATGGAGGAAGGGAGGAAGGGAGGGAGGAAGGAAGGAAGGAAGGAAGGAAGGAAGGGAGGGAGGGAGGGAGGGAGGAAGGAAGGAAGGAAGGAAGGAGGGAGGGAAGAGTATTTGTACTGGAAATCTAAATTTTAAAATGAAAAAAATAAGAAAAAGAATCTTAGATGAAACCTCCGGGGCAGGTGGAGATTTTGCACTGTAACAGATCTTTCACATTAATTTTGCATTTATAAGCTGTTTGTTCTTTAACACAGTTGCCCATCATAAATATTCATTGAATGGATCCAAGTTTATTTTCAGCTCCTACAGCTGTGCTCAGTTTGAGGCTCTGCACCGTGGAGGTTAAAGAGATCAAACTAGCTGTCCCTCTTTGTTTCCCTTGCCTTCCCTGACCCAATTGCACAGGCCTTTGCTGTAGTCTGGGGACCTTGTCTACTAAATAAGAAGTCCCAGGATAAGGAAAGTGGCTCCTAAATATAACCTTGGGGTCTCCCCTCTCCCGTCTCAGAGACCTTGGATCAGGACAACTGCCTGTTGGCACTGACTTTAAGGAAAACAAAACTGTTGGCCATAGCCCCTTCCTGTTTGCCAGCATTTCCTTTTTTTGCATTGAATCTCTGTTGAATCATTTCTTTATTTCACGCACTCTAAGAAGGAGGTGGTGGTCTGGGAGGAGGAAGCTCGATCTCCCCTCGAGGCTATGGGGAGGTACCTGCAGCCTTACCAAGAGCACTCTTGGCTTGGGGAGCTCCCCTGCAGCCTTGCCAGGGTTGCAGGGAAGGCCATGGGTGGCACAAAGCGAGATGGAGTAGGGGCTGCAAAATGTCTTCTAATTTAGCTCTTGAAGATTCACTGGGCCTTTTTAATTCCACTCCTGAGGTTTAAAGGACAGCACATACCCCGGTGTCTGGTTGGAAGAGCAGCTCAGGGTCTGATCCCTGCTTGCCTGCCCTTTAGCACAACTGAACGAAGAGCCTTGACGACACGTTGGCCACGTGCACACGTCAGTTATGTGTCTGTGACGGGCACCCGGATGTGAGGTCTCTCCCTGTTTCTCACTGTCTTTGGTATCGATGTAGTTGGAGACAGAACTTGAACCAAATCTCGTTTTTGTAATGTGAGCCTTTGAATCTTTAAATGAGGATGCTCCTGAAGAACCTTTTACTAGAACGTCCCTACCAAACATGTCTATTTTTCTACAGTTGTTGATAACACAGTTTAACAGTGTATTTTGTGTCAACTGTTAAAATTCGGAACTGAAGTTCTTTGAGACTGATTTTCTAAGCAGCAAGTCGTGAGTGAATGGTGTTTTCCATTAAGACAGTTCAACAAAATTGACCCCACAATTTCCACTCATTCTATTCCACAATATCCAGTCCTCGTTCCCTCAGTCACTCCATTAGCAAACCGTGCTATGAGAATTTTTTAAAAGTCTCTTTTAATGCAACAGTATCCATAACTAATGAAGATCACTCTCAAATGGATACTTTGGTCTGTTTGGTTAACATATTTTAGTCACTTTTCCACAAAGCATGGTGGGATCCATGAGCCAGATAAGAATTTGGGGTTTGAGGGTTATGGTGTGCCACAGATGACCCCAGTCTGACAGGACAAAGTGCTCTTGAAAGGAAGGGCAGTTTCGGCTGCAAGCATGGCCCCCACTAAGGCTGCTGAGTTCCTCGGATTCTCACCTCCATCCGCCCCAGCGTGCTCTCTGACTGGAAGAGCACCCATTCATTTATAGATCAACTTTATGGAACCAATAAAGTCATTTATGTCTTAGCTGTCCCCTGGGTAAGCTATACTCTTTTACATTAACACAGCAAATGTCAACTTTTTTGTTCCTTCAAACGTGGCACTCCAGCCTGGCTGTTCCAACATATATTCCCTCTGAGTTCATGAGGCAGAACTCTCTCTTCCTGACTCCCTTCTTCCATCTATCTCTATCCTTTGCTCTTTCCCTGGTTCCCCAGTTCCAATTCTATTGCTTTAGTTCAATACCTTATGTTCCCTAACAGGAGCCCAGCTACACATGTCAACCTATTTCTTAAGCACAATTTTCTCTTGCAGGTTTAACCAAGCTAGGGCTCTGAAATGTCTATTTTTCATTGCACTCTAATTTAAAAATTATTCATGACTTCATTTAATAGTGTAAATTTTGAATTCACCAAAGCAACATTCTTAGGCCTTTCATCCCTACATTTTCTTACACTTCAGGTTTCTTACTTTTTCCCCTTTGCTTTTTTATTTAGATTTAAGCCAGCGTCTTTGCGATATTTAGGAACTGCTTAAAAAGATGGGAACTGGTGGACAGAGAAAGGGGGCATAAGAATGCTGTTAGAAAACTACCTGAACTCACCAGAAGAAGGGGAAATCATTCGATTTGCTGAGAGAATACAATTAAAATGCTCATAAGTCACTTCCAAAACAGTTTGCTAGTAGTCTGGATACTCTGCAGTCTTTCTTTCCTTGACTTGGGTGATACTCTGCATGATTTAGAAATGTCAGGAAGGTCACTGAAAATTGAATCTCCTATATATATGGTAGACATTATCTTCTAGGATGATTTCCTTTCAATGGGTGGCTTCAACATTGAAAAACATAGGTAACATATACACAATAGATGATTCATTGATATTACATGACAATACACTAAAATGACATTATCTTGTTTCCAAACTTTATGGCCAACCTTTAAGAAAATGTTAGCCTTTAATTTTAAATTGAGTAAAGCACACCTCTTCCTAGTATTTCTGCCTTTAATGTCTTGAGTGATTTATATGCAGAGTGTCATCTAGAAGTCAACATTCTGTCAGAAGGCTGCTAAGAGGTTTTGACAAAGCACAGAATGTACAATAATCACAAACGATATTTTACCCAACATGATGTGGTGTTTGAGAGCATGAAGAGCACTTGTACAAATGGTCTTATTTCATTCTAATTCACCATGAGAGGCTGAGTATTATAATTTACATTTTATAGAGGGAAAACTAGGGTTTGGGCAAACTGGCCAAGTTTACAAGGCCTGTGAATCATAGCTCCTGGTCTCAAATCCAGGTCACAAGGCCCTAAGCTGCGGGCTGTTTTTACTATGAAAAATTTTGGCAAAACTAATCTGCTAAAAAAAAAAAAAAAGAAAAAATCTGGCCTGCTGCCTGTTACTGTACCACTTATGAGCTTAAAGGGATTTTTACATTTTTTAATGATTGGGGGAAAAAAAGAAAAGAAGAATATTTTGTGACATGTGAAAATCATCCTAAATTCACATTTCAGTGTCCACAAATAAAGTTTTATTGGAATACAGTCACAGCCATTTGTCTGTGTATTGCCTATGGCTGCTTCCACTTGCACTAGCAGAGCTAAGTGATTACAACAGAGACTGTGTGGCCAGCAAAGATTAAAATATTTACTCTCTGGCCCTGTATAGGAAAAGTTTGCCAACCCCTGTACCGTACTGTTAAGTACTATTGGTACTATTACTAGTAACAGTACTATTAATAGTATGTAATAGTATTGCTAAGTACTATGAAATATTGTACTGTACTCTTAAGAGATTCCTACGCAATATGAAAGAATGACGTTCTTTGCTAGTATAAATCTATTGAAGTTACTCATAAGTCTGTTCCAAAAGAAACATAACCCTTTTTTTTTTTCTTTTTGTCAAAGGGGCAACTGCTTCACAACACTTAGAGGGCACAGTCATTCAGTTAGGGTCTCAAAGGAAGAACCCTTCCTTTTCATAGCCATTCCTCCAGAGTGGCAAAGAGAGTCAGCAGCCAGCCGGGACCCAGTGGTCAACTCAGAAAGCGGGTATGGTAAAATTACTCATTAATGAACAATAGAGAAATGGGCATTCCCAGCCCAGCAACTGACATACTGCTTCAGTGGCACCCACAGGCGTTGGATGACGTACATAGCTCAGGCCGTCGGTCTCTGCTCAGCGAAGCAGCCCAAACCTGCCACAGTTACCATACTGTCAGACCCGCCCTGCTCCCCCACGTGGTTCTCATGGAGGAGAGCTAAACAGGTGGCCCAGATATCTCCCTCTGTTTTCTTGCTAGTTTTCTCTGGCCTACAATTTACGACTGATCAAGGTGATGAACGTGAACCTGGAGCTACCGCTCATGTTTAATTGCGCTAGTTCCAGCTC